CCCTAGCGCCTTGTCTTTCTTCTTAAGCCAAGCCACCTCCTCGATCCGGAGTCCTGGCTCGTTTAGGTCATTCTCTTTCATGATTTTCTCGATCGCCTGTGCGTTCGCGTTTTCTAGATCAAAGTCCTCTGTCGGGGTCCGGTGTACCACGACGCCAAACCTCGCCTTGACTAGTTTTGTGTTGTTTCCTAGCTCGTGCAGCCATTCCATGTTGTTGCGGGCCGCTTCTGCCGACGCTGTGTCCTTAAACCGAATGACATATCCAGTTTTAGTGGTGCCAACCCCGGCTACCTGGGCGTCTTGTGTGGACGCTGTGTTCGACAACGCCGTTCGGATATAGGTGTTTGCGGTCTCTGTTGGGAGATATCGCCCAAAGGTGTTTTGGTCATTCTTGTCGTTGTCTCTTGGATCCACAAAGGACCGCTGAGTACTGATTCGGACGCAGTTTCGATCCTTGTCTGTGCGTTGGGGGGTTGGTTGGAGAGGCGGGTGGCTTGCTGCCACTGCGGCCCACGATTTTGCCCCGGGTGTGGTTGGGAGTGTATCAATTTGTGCCCGCAGGGCTCGGACTTCTTCGTGGAGTTTCTCATTCTGTGTTTGGAGGACGTTCTGGTCGTGCTTTACTTCAAGCAGTTCGTTTTTGGTAGATTGGATAAGCTCGGTTTGGTAGGCGATTATTTCTTTCAAGCCGTCAATCATCCGCCAGATCTCCCGAGTCGTGACGCGTCCACTGTTGTCTCCGGAGTTCGTGCTCTCGGTGATTGAGCGAGATACGTTAGAGTGGCCATCGCTGAGCCGAGCCTGTCTTCTGGTCCGAGGCGCGGCAGTCGAATCAAAGTTTTCCAACGCGTCGGTCGTTGCCGTTCCTCGCGTGGTAGTGCGAGGAGGTTCGGGAGCACCCGCATGTGGGTCCGCCATCCGTTTCGTTCGGTACACAACAATAATTTTTCTCCTAGGGGTACAGTAGTCCTAGGGGTGCTAGGGGTACAGTAGTCGGTTTTTTACAGTAATGTTCGAAATCAGCTATACCTCCCAAGCTGTACAGTAGTCCTATTATACAGACGCGCTCGAAATCAGTTTCACCTCTATACTCTCTTCGATTCTTTGTCGAACTCTATTTTGCATGACGCCATACCTTTTGCGGTTAGCTTACCCCTGACCCACCCTCTTGGCAGTATCTTAGTACAGTAATAAATAATGGCATAAAAATAGCTATCGTATCATGGTTGTATGGGCCATGTCCTGTCTAGAACCACTCGCTTGCAAACAAGCCAAACAGACTAGCTGGCAGGAGATTCGGTCGGTTGTCTGGCCACACGTTTCTCACCCCTCCTCCTTCCGTCCACCACATTCACTCTTCTTTAACTAACATAGTGCACGAGCAAAGACATACGTAGATACAATACTGGTGGGATAACACATTTCTTTCCAACCGACTTATCGGCCATACAAACACTTCATTCCTTGCGTCCCACCCGCTGTTGAACCCTGGATGACCAAAATGTGCTGAAGTTCGGTTTCCTAGGAAATTGAGGACGATGATTAACCACTTCTATCCCAACGGTGATGAATCCCAAGCCCAGGACCCCTATCCCTCGGACCAGGATTCGCAATACGCCCCGACTCCAGGATATTACGAACACACGCCACCCTCAGAATATGGTTTCAGCCCTTCACCGGACCGTTGCCCCCAGAACGATCCCGAGCTCTTAGTCGCTTCCCAACCGGGACCCCTCAAGCTGCTTCAGCTCTCTGAGTGGGAAGCAAACAGGCCAGACGACGAGCTTTCCGCAAGCTTTATTCGGTATACTATCGAGTGGAAAGTCAAAGTGAATAACCGGTCTATGTCAGAGGATACGGAACAGGACGTAGCGCTGACCCCAAGTGCTTACTGGCCCTTGGTCCTCAGGGACAAGCTGTATAAGGTAATCGAGGAGAAAGTTGCGCGCAAACGAAGGGTCAGGTCGGACGACACATCTATTGTTGTCTCAATCAACGACCGTAAGCAACGGGACCTGAAAAAGCGGTTCAATGGCCTCAATATTGACTGGTCTGCTGTGGAAAAACAATTACTCGTTTGGGGGAAGTTTCATGCCAGCGGTAAAGAGTTGCGGCTAAAGATCATCTTCAACTATATAGAGGACGACATCTCCCCTAGAAGCTCAACAGGCAGAAACGACAAAAGAGGAAGGTCATCTGTCACCAAAAGGATGCTCAACGAGCGGGATGAACAACTTGACGCCGAACAGCATACAACTGGGGAACAGTCGATCTGGCGGGCAGTCTACAACTTGATGCGCTGTCCTTCGCCATCTTGTCATCTTGGTCCGCACTGCTGGCAGGACCCACATGGGAAAAAACACTATCAGCTAAGGACACACCATTTGAAACGCCTGATCGCTTATGTTGAAGGTGGTGGCATTCTGGAATGTCAAAACGATGTTCCTGACGCTGTTCGTGAGGAGCTCTTCTTGGAAGAGCAGCAGAAATTGGAGAGTCTCCAAACTAAGGGCAGCAAAATGCTTGCTGCAGGAAATTGTCCACCTATTAATATCAACTTCATGGGAGGGCAGCATCACCTTCAATCACCGGCGACCAACTCAATTACAACATTGGCTACGTCTCCACCTCAAATTGGACAGACGGTTGATCCGCTCATAATTGACGGGCCCCGAGATTTGGCTGTTAGAGAGTACAGCGCATGGCAAGAAACGAATGTTGTCGACGACAATTTGAAGGCTCAGTTTCGACACGCATGCGATGTAACGCTGGCCAACGGTCTGGATCTTGAACAGATCCATGAGGACCATGACGCTGGATTTTTTATTGAAAAAGGAGTTGCGGTAGGGATTGCACGCCGCTTCGTAAGCGACATTGGTAGATGGGTGAGGCACGTAAGAAACTGACTGCGCAGGCTCGCAGTTAGAGTGGCTGGCAAGGCGTAATTAGACTTTTGATTACTTTTTATTTGCTTTTGATTAGACGTACTTCCCGCAATGCAGTACTAGACAAAATAAATGCGGATACATGGATTATCTAGTCAAATTTGATGCCAATGAAATGGTCTTGTATAGAACTAGTGCTGATCTATCATCAACACCGAGCCTCATGATAGTCTTCAACAACAACGCCAGCGTGCCGGAAATGGCCCATTGCGCTTTCTTCTCGGGATCCGACAGCCTCGATACACCACTCAAGGAAAGAGGCGAATCCTTGGTCCGGGCTTTGCTCATATCGCCTCCAATTCCGCCTGATGAACGCCTTCATCTCCGAGAAGAACTCCTCAATGGGATTCAAATCAGGTGAATAAGGTGGTAGGTAAACCAGTTTTACCCCTGCATTGGCACATAGTTCTTTGATTCGCTCAGAGTGATGAAAAGATGCATTATCCATGACTACAACGGACTTTGGTTCAGGCCACCTACCGCAATGTTTGAGAAGCTGCTCAATAAAATCCTCAAATACAGCTGCATCAGTCGAGCCTTGGAATACTCGAGAAAAGACGACACCATCTTGGGCGTATGCAGGAAGAATCTGATATCGTTGGTCACGATGGAATTTGGAAACCTGCAAAGGTGTCGCGCCGACCGGAGACCAGCCAGTCCGTCTAAAACCAATTCGTTTATCGCATCCGGACTCGTCCACATAGACTAGGTGATAGGATCGGAAATCCGATAGGTTGTGTAGGTAGAAGTCTCGTAAATCGGCGTTTTGTTCCTTTGCTCTTTGTCGAGCCACCTTTTTCGACCAGCCGACAGACGCAAGAGCCCGTTTAAGACTCGAATTTGTCACCTTAATATGGAATTCATCCCATATAAATAGCGCCATCTCATCCACGTACAGCCCAGGCTTCTCAAGTAGATGATCACATATGGCGTCTAGCATCGGAGGGGTGATAGTTCTTCGTCGTCCGACACGAGTCGGAGGGGCTCTGACATTTCCGAATCGGTGGAGATTGTTGCGGATGTTGATGATGGAACGCCCACTACATTCAGCTGCTTCAGCCATCTGCGATGTATTCAGGGATTTGCTAAGTATCATGTCACGGATCATCTCGAGCTTCGATGGAGGGAGCCTCGGCGCCATTTTGCGGAGGGACGATAGAAGGTGCTGTGGGTGGAAACCCCCAAGGCATTGACTGATGGGCATTGTTGGGCACCATGTGGAAATTCTTTTCTCCATGCTCACCCTTGCTCACCCCTGTGCTCAGTGAGCGGATGAAATGACTTTTGGTCGAAGGTCTGGGGGATGCTGGGGTATTGGGAAATGCACGTGACCCTAGGTCTCGTAGTTCCCAGGAGCTTGGTCGATTCTAGAACAACGATCTGAAAACTGCGGACCCTGAATTATTGGTAGGTAGGGGGCAGTACCTTAGGAGTCATGGATGCTAGGTCGTGCGATTGGTCTCTCCTGGGTGGTGGACTACCTGTTGCCCTAGCGATGTATTAATCTGCGGCTTCAAAACCCTCAACTGGACTGCGCAGGTAGTCTCGATCTGGGATTTCTACAGTCTCACCACTTGTTTCTATTTAGGATAATTCTAGGACCAAGTATATACGCTATTCAAGATAAAGCGTGTATAGGAAAGGCACAGGGATCTGAAGCAATTGAACATTGATCAAAGGCCAGGGATGGGACTCTGTTCTGTAAGCGCGAGAAATATGACAACACCTGACGCACAGGCAATCGCCACATTTGTTGCAGACATAGCAAAGAGAGAGGGATTAGGTGGTCGATATTCGGTAGGCAGCCAAAGGAGGTTGACTCCATTATAGGTTATCCAGGAATGGTCATCAGTCAAACCATACCCGTATTGTCCTGGCGAGATCGAACAGTGAGGAGTGGACGTGATGGTACCAGTGAATCCTATCTCAAATGTACCAATTGACGTGTGTAGATGATTGAAAATGACTTTATCGAGCTGAACGAAGCGGGGAGAGTTGATATGGATTGTTGACGGGCACTGGCCAGTGGCCGGATCCCAGATCCTGACGGTATTATCATAGGATGCTGATGCGAGTCGGCTTCCATCTTGCGACCAGGCAATCGAGCTGACCCAACCGCTATGCCCCTCGAGGGTCGACACGCACTGGCCAGCGGCTGGATCCCAGATCCTGACGGTCTCATCAGAGGACGCTGATGCGAGTCGGCTTCCATCTTGCGACCAGGCAATCCAGCTGACCGAACCGCTATGTCCCTTGAGGGTTGACGCGCATAGGCCGGTGGCAGGATCCCAGATCCTAACGGTCTCATCATCTGAGGCTGATGCGAGTCGGCTTCCATCTTGCGACCAGGTAGTCGAGCTGACCGAACCGCTATGCCCCTCGAGGGTCGACACGCACTGGCCAGTGGCCGGATCCCAGATCCTGACGGTCTCATCAGAGGACGCTGATGCGAGTCGGCTTCCATCTTGCGACCAGGCAATCGAGCTGACCGAACCGCTATGTCCCTCGAGGGTTGATGCGCACTTGCCAGTGGCCGGATTCCAGATCCTGACGGTATTATCATAGGATGCTGATGCGAGTCGGCTTCCATTTGGCGACCAGACAATCGAGTGGACCATATTACTATGCCCCTCGAGGGATGAGGCGCACTGGCCAGTGGCCGGATCCCAGATCCTGACGGTGTTATCAGAGGATGCTGATGCGAGTCGGCTTCCACCTTGCGACCAGGCAATCAAGAGGACCATATCACTATGCCCCTCGAGGGTTGACGTGCACTGGCCAGTGGCCGTATCCCAGATCCTGACGGTCTTATCAGAGGACGCTGATGCGAGTCGGCTTCCATCTTGCGACCAGGCAATCGAGAGGATCGAATTGCTATGCCCCTCGAGGGTTTGAAGACACGGACTCCAATCTTCGTCCACCAATGGATCATTCAAAACCCAGTCCGGTCTCTCCCTTTGATAACATCTTCTCGTGAGGCTCAACATAGGGCTAAATATCAGAGGTGAACTGTATACTTGAAGCGGGCTACTTTCAATTGCTAGCCTGTGGTATCGAATGAATCGGGAGGCGTCTTGAACTCGATGTAAAAGGGCAGCTGGTTCATTTTTTCCCTATTATAGTAGTTCTATTGTAAGAAGTGGAATAGTTTCGGTATCTCAGTAATTACTCACCTGAAGTAAGCCCTCCAGCTTTAGCATAGCTGTTATGCCTTGTGATATGCTTCCTAGGATGCTCAGGGCTTCAAGCCAGTGAAGGTATTTCTTTTGTAGGAAATCACTAACACACCCTCCTTCATCAACGTCAAGATCCTTTTTTTTATGGCATCCGCTATGATGAAGGTGATCAACCCAATAGACACACGCATATTGTGCAGCCGCTAATGGATTCGGACTAGGTGGTATAACTTTCTCAATCGGGAATCCGGGAAACTTGATTTGAAAGATGTCGCGCTGAAGTGTCTTAAACATGGCTTGAAGAGAACGAGAGAAAATTGTATGGTGTTCAGCTTCTATGCCTCCAGGAAAAACCCCATTTTGCGTCTCTCTAAGAAGAAATTCCTTTGCAGACTGATGGACGATTATGATAGTGTCTTCGCGCACAGTCAAAAACGAGCCACAAATCGCGATAATCTCTGATAGGGCTTCAGAGTCATCAGAGAGATCATCAGGTAGCTTAACAAGAGAGGCCAGCTCGTCAAACGCGATAGGCCGATACACTATGGACATGACAGCCAGTATTCGCTTGCACAGCTCGGCATCTTCCGAGTTGCGAACCTGATCGATCATCCGATCGTACAAGGCATTCAGTCCAGGAGGGAATGCCTCCAGCTTCTTAAGAGCGTGCCTCCGCGATGTTCTATCAAGGTCTTGACAGACCAAGGCTACCCAAAGGAAAGTGCCTTGCGAGTTGGATGACAAGTGACGGCAGATCGTATCACGAGTTTCATCGCTATACTTCTTGACTTTCGCCAGATAGTGAACCTTATATTGAATGAATTTGCTCACAGCTTCGGATACAGACGCTTCATTTAGCTCTAATGAGATTGGAGCGGTCTGGGTAGTGTCAAGACGCTCTTCGATATCAGGCCAGTTGCGGCTCGAGACAATCCACTTTATCTGTGGGTAAGCAGACGATACCGCAGTGATCAAGTCGAGAAGCGAAGGTAGGCCTGTTGTGCATTCGTCTAGCGCGTCGATAATCAAATAGGTGCTCTGTAAGGCCGGGTCTTTCAAAACATCTGTGAAGATCCCCAAAAGTGCATTCCATGCGTTTATATCCTCGAACAATGCTTTTCCCGCCTTGTCATACTGGCTCTGCACGTGGGAGAGAAGAGATGGCTGCTTCTCCACAAGCGAATATATTAAGCCACGGAGAACAGCCGTGGCGTTATTGATTCGCACGTCGGTAGCTTGGCAAAAAAAGAACGAGATATTGGCAGTGTCCCCAAATAATCTTGTTAACTCATCGATGATACCGCACATCAGCATTGTCTTGCCTTTGCCCGGATCACCTCTGATCCAAAGTAGACAATTGTTCTGGTTTTCTTGCCATTGTCGAAACTCCTTGTTGTCTAGAATCCAGTAGTATGAGTCTTTGAACAGCCCTCCGTTGGTGTTCTGAATACGATCTTTGTCATGGCGAGGATTAGTGGTCCGCAGATCCCGCAGGCAAGCTTGATTCAATGATGTTTCTGATTGTTCTGAGGCAATCACACCGATTAGTCACGTTCTTTTAGAGTTATACGCTCACTTACGGAACTGAGTAGTGATATGACCAAGGTTCTGCCCAACTTGGATCCCAGAGTTTGAACCATCATATGATATCGTGCACGCCATTATTGCAGGTGATTTTCAGAAGGGGTAGTCGCTAACATGCGGCTGTCTCTTCAAGTTACCCCGCTGTCAGGTGACTCGTTGCTCGTTAGTGAATCGAGATATAGGGAATCAGTCGTATCATTCTTTCCAATATATTACAAACAATATCATGTGATTTGGAGTTACAATACGTTTCAGAGGTTCGAAATTGCCTAATCCGAACATAGACTAGCGTGTTTCAGGATTAAGTTTGAAAAAGAATCAAAGAGAGTAAACAAGGTGAAACTGATTTCGAGCGCGTCTGTAACAACTGCTGTTACTGGAGCAACTCTTCTGATCTGTTCAGCACTTCTCGCGCTCTACAAATTCTACAAATTGGAGCGGATCAGAAAGGAAGATGAGGATATCCGACGTTCGCGAGCCTCGATCACGTCTGATACGTGATATCAGAGCTTTTAGGGCTATGAAGGGCATCTCTATCGCTATGAGAATGGGATTGCTCTTTCCCTTTATCCTTCAATTTAGCCTTACCCCTGATTTTGGTACTGCAGAAGCCCTTTTGCTTCTGGAGTCAAGTCGTGAAATCCCAGTCTGAATCTGCATGTGGATTTTTATGTATTTCCTGATATCTCGCTCGTTTACCATGTCACGCTGAATTAAGTCTTGTTTAGCTTTCCAATCCGAATACAGTGTTCATAATATAGTTCTGTCTTGAAGTCATGAAGCAACATTAGTCTGAGGGCAAATGGCGTTAAATTGCATGTTTAACGTAAAAGAGGGCTTCGTTCCGAAGCTCTGAATGAGCAGTAAATTGAAGATCGACTAAGTGGCACTCTATGACGCCACTCTTACTCAAGAGCAAAGCCTATTTATGTGAGGTTAGATGAAGTTCCGGGTCAAGTCAGTAATAGTAAAAGAGGTCATTTCAAAAACCAAATGCACACCAGCTTCTGTATGAGTCTAACCACTTGCAGGCCAAAAAACACAGGTAAACTTTGCATTTTGCAAACCGTCGTTTTGCTTGATTCAATTGCTCATTTTGAAACCTATCTAACATACTCAATAAATGAGTGCTTGAGGTCAGCACAACTGGGTTCGTTGAGCAACAGCTTACTGAAAGTCACCGCAAATGACATTCACACGGGGAACAAGGATGCTGAAAATTTCATACGTTGATTGCTCAATTTTGCACACAAAAATGCTGGCTTGATTCAATGCTTGAAGGAAGGGCGGCTCCAAAAGTGAACTTCGAGGAGGTTGCCTCCAGTTAGACGAAGTGATCATACTTAAAGCCTGAGCTTTAGACCTCACCAGAGACGCATAAAGCGTGTGCCATCTAGCCTCTTTATTTAAAGGCAGGAACCCAACGAGCTAGAACGCAAATTCATGCTCGGTTACGATTTGCATAATGCCAATAAGATTGAAATCAGAGGCCGACGCATTTACTTGTGCTTCGCAATCATATCCCGGCCCTATGTCGTAACTACGGTTTGACTTGATATCTGAAATGCATAAATATCTGCCATCAACCGCGTAAATTCTTTGCTTTTCACGGAAAGGATCAGGCCTGGCTCCAAAATGGCCTCCAACAGTGGAGTGAAGAAAAGCAAGGAAAACAAGGACAATAAGGACAACCATTCCAAGCTTGTTGAAATGGAAGAATGGGCAAACAGGGCGACCTCTTCTGAAAAGGTCAATAGCGCAGCTGCCCAGGTGGAATTGCAGCAAGGGCCTCGTCCAACCGACAAATCGTCAGACATACAAGATAGCGACCAGCCTAACAATATTGATCCAACCGACCAAGCCAATGCCTCATTGCCATCGCATAGCTCAGTAGTAGAGTCTATCGAGAGAGATGACACCCCAATGCACGATGCTGGCTCGGTACATCAGGCTAGAGAGGGGTCAAGCTCGGATATTCATGAACGCCCCTCTATGGCCGGTCATCCACAAAATCGAACTGATCTGTCACCGGAAGCACGAGGTGCTAGCGAGTCCAGGGACCCAGAGCTTTTAGCCAGCCTTGATCCGTCAGAAGATGACGAGGAAACCGACGCGGTTGTGGATGGATGGGGAATGCTGCGAGGATCAACCTTCGTCATTCTCCAGTATGGGCCTCGTCATGGAGCCAGATACAAATTCCAATACAGAAATGGATATACCAATGACAACATGAACGACATTTCTCAACGAGAGTTGCGGATTTCCCAGATCAAAGCTAGTCCACGGAGCAAAGTCTGGCGGTATACCAAACACAATGTTGTCGGGATCTACGGGATTGTCTCGGAAGAAAGAAAGAATCCGGATAATGAATACAAGTCTGATCCGTGTTCTTGGCTGAAGATTAAATGGAAGGATCTGAAGTCAGAGGATACCGGCAACATGCAAAATTCTTGTTCTTGGATTCCGAGATCCGATTTCACTCGCTTCTGCAATGGCAAGCGCGCAGCAGACGCAAAAATCAAAGAGGTCTGGGACAAACAAGAAGAACGCTATCTGCGCGTGCTCCAGAGCGACGCTGGTAGAGGCAATGAGGATCGGTCTCCCACGCCTTGCCCATTGGGCTCAGCAGCGAGGCAATCACCAGAGCGACAGCCTGCACGACGTCTCAATTCACCTGCAATCCAACACTCATCTGCAGGCCAACGTGAAGTGCCCTCTTCCTCCACTGCGAATTTGCATCCGGGACCTGGGTCGCCAGCCAACCCAATCAACCTTGATGGAGATGAGGCACCTCACAATCCGGTTTCCTCCGGCGCTGCTTTGAACTCAAACACGAACTCGATGCAGAACAAGTCCAACCCGAAAATTGGCCAAAGAGCCATACGCACGGAAGCGGAATTCATCGCAGAAAGGGAGAAAGCGGAGGGGTGGCATGATCTGGATGATATGCAGAGAGAAAGACGCCTTACGGTGGCGAAAGCCATGTATGACCTGTACCGGGACACAATTGCACAGAATATGCAATCCCAAGACGCGGTCAATACTCCAATTGGCCAACGACCAGGAGCAGCAGTCGCTGCCCATTAAGGCCTTGTTTTCGTCTTGGCTGTGAACGTTAAATTGGGGGTTTGAATTTGCAACAGATTGGTAGATGTTAAACTGATAGATAGCCTTCTTTTGTTCCAAATTGACACTCTTTGTTTTTCAATTTAATTTCCCTTGGCAGGTCCCGAATCAAAACAAAGCGGCCAGTGAGAAATGGTCGTGCGTGACTCATGTCTCCTGAAAGTCCCTAGGCGTTTGATCTCATCTTTCTGTATATCAATACCCCTACTCCATGACTTTACGTAGCCGCTAGTTATGAAAACTACGATGACGAAAATGAGAACCTTGGCCAATGGAAGGTAATACGTTCTTACATTTGATATCAATCTTCTATTCCTATATGGAAAGATTTACCTGATTGTACTCTAGTAGTGACTAACTCGATTTCCCAAGCTATCTCGCTTTGATGCACAACAGAAGCAAACAAATGGGACTATAAAATCCACCAGGGAGTTAAGAGCCCATCATGGCAACATGAGAAGGCGAGAGTGGTGAGGCAGGTGAGTGTGGTGAGAGTGGTGAGAGTGGTGAGAGGTGAGAGTGGTGAGGTGACTAGCTTCCAGATACATAGCACACAGCATAGCACACAGTGGGTATAACAAGCTCAACAACTTCAATGCACCTGAAGAGGTTTGCAGACAAAGTTGATTTTGACCTTCTATTTAGCGCAGCGATATAGCCTACTGTTGACGTCCATGCGAAAGGGAAAGCGGTGGCTCAAGCGTTTCTCCTGATTTGGTTTAGAGGTGAAGGCAAATTAACAGAAAGAACAACATAAATATGAGGCCATTTTTCTTCTTGAGTCCCTCACTTTATTCACTTGGAATACCTTTGGTTCCTCGATAATATACACAGATCACGTGAAACGCAGGCCAGTAACCAGGTTTCGCCAGAGGCCAAGGTAAGAAATTCCACACAGATTTCGTTCCCCACGATGCCTCTAACAGCTTAGGTAAGGTCTAGGTAACGAAGCCGTACCAGTGTGTAGCTGGATCAATTGAAGCTGGTGCAACTGCCTTGCTGAGCCAAGTCTGAACGCCCATCAGAACTTCTCAGCCAGCATCACATGCACAAACTCAGTAAGTAGCTTGCTGTAAGCCAATCACATTGCTATGTTCCAAAGTTGACAAGTTATAGTATCGAAGACTTTGCAGGCGATAACACTCTGAGCGACCGTACCACTGACGCTTGGGGCGGAAACAAAATGGCGACCGCTCAAAGCACGAACACAACCGGAACGATAGCCTGGAACAATGCCTTCGTGCCATTGACTTTGATAATCCCGACATTCACACTGCCAACGGCTAGTACGGTGGAGGCTGGTACAGTATCTGACTTGCCTGCTCCTACACAACTTGGTCCCACGAGACCTGCTGAAGCGTCTGGAAATGTGGCATCTTCGGCAACAATTCGAGGACTAGGCTTATGGTATCTGCTTCTACTTATCGCGATGATTATTTGTGAAAGTCTATGATTCATGTGGGGGCCTTTAATCAGTCTGCAGGATAGGACCCTACCGGTGAGGATAAAGATGCCCTGCTTCATTAACTGAGAATCAGAGTGCTATTCTATTTTCCCAACCCTGTAGAAAAGTGCAACTCTAGAAAACACCTGCGTCCTTCTGAATGGCCAAATGCGAGTTCATCCTATTCAAATTCCAAGAGCATAGAATTCGTCTTGGTGATGTTCAGACTTTCGAAAAACGTCCACTCTGCCGTAGGCAACAGCCCCTTAGCAAGCTCAGCTTTTTGCGAATCCTCCTGGACGTCGAGATATCTCGTGGCCTGCAATTTTAATGGCATCGTTACTCGCCATCGCACCGGCCCTGCTGTTCCGTCCTTGTAAATTACTTCGAAGTCCATGCACGGGACATTCCACGGTATTGAAACAACGTAGCTACCACGGTATCTGACAAAGTGTTTTATGGACCTGTATGTATAAGAATCTAACAGTAGTGGCTATGGAGGTGATTA